AATCAATAAATTTATTAATTATCTAATTTAATAAAATTAATAAATTTTTAAAACCGTATTAAGATAAATTTCCCCTTGATCTTTATTTAAACTTGTTCTCAACTTTCGATACGTTATATCGAAATAAACGAGAATTGACGAGAAGCGTGCCAATATATCTAAACTGTTTCTAAATCGTTTAAAACCATATTTATATCATCTTTTCCCCATTTCTGAAAAGTTTCCCGCTTCTTATTCTTTTTTTCTAAGGATCTTTCGAACAAATTGATTTTCGAACAGCTACGTTCGAAACGAACGTTGTTCTCGGCAAAACTTCCTCCGGAAGCCACTTGTCGGATTCTTTCTCCGCTCTCCCTGTTCCGGCCGTTTCCTTTCCCGTTTCGCCCCCGCCGTTTTCGCGGTTCACTCGGCGAGAAAGGCGGCCGGAGTCGGTCAGAGGGAGGCGAGGGGAGGGGGATGAAAGAAAGGGCGAACGAATCACGCGTTCAGAGACGAGAGTGAAAAAACAAGGGGGGAGAAATACACGTATCACGCTACATACACTGTATATATATATAGGGGGAGGGGAAAACGAGAAATGTAGAGAGAGAGAGAGAGAGAAGGGAACGTTGCGGTGATAGGAACGTGAATTTCATTCTAGTGCCAATCAAGAGGGAGGAGCTGGTCACGATCAGCTCTTCGTCCACAGAGGGGTGATGAGAAAAAAAAAGAAGTAAAAAAGTCCACTACAATCCCTTTCCTGGCCGAATAGAAATTCTGTTCCTCTCTCCAAACGAGCGAATTTTCACGAGCGACTCTTTGATTCTCCCTTCTTCTTCGTGTTCGTTTTTTCGCACGAAGACGACCCGCGAGTCCCTTCCGTCCTTTTCGTTTTTAAAGATGGACGGAAAATGGATGATATATCGAGGCGGGAGCAGACAGGAACAGACTTCCGCCGGAAGGAAAGGATCCGCTATTTACAGGCCCAATTGAACACCATGACAAGAGGACAGTGACAGAGTCGGTGGTGGTGCGTGCGAATCGGTGCAAAATCATTTTCGCTCGTGAACACCCGATCTATCGATCATCACGTAGACGCGTGTACGTGTTTCTCTTACTTTCACGTCTCTTCCACGGGACAACAACAGAGGGACAACAAGAACAAGAACAAGAACAACAACAATAAGAACAAGAACAAGAACAAGAAGAAAAAGAAGAAGAAGAAGAAGAAGAAGAAGAAAATTGTGTATCATTTTCACGATCACAGACAGAAGGAGACAGAAGGTTGATTTACACGCGTGGTTGATCAGACCAGAAAAAAAAAAAAAGAAAAAAGAAAAAAAGAAAACAAGAGGCGACAAATAAGGAGGGCGGAGGGTTCCGGAGAATTTTCACAGCATGGCACTTCGCTCTCTCGTGATATTTTTCTCACTTGGTCTCAAGATGGCCCACCTTCGTGAGAGTTAACAGTGGAATCAAGATAAAAAAAAAAGCGTGGGAAAAGGGAGGTAGTAATACAATACAACCAGCGTTTTGATTATCTACATTTGGNATATATATATATGTTTCAAACACATCTGCGATCAAAAATTTCAAGGGGAAGTAATGTATTCAAAAAATAAAGAGGGGGGTGGGGGGGAGAAAGGGGGCAGCGAACGTGTTTCGAAAATTGCAAAAATG